CCTTTTTTTTTTTTTTTGAATATTTTATTTTTCACACATTAGCATTTTCAGTGGCTTTTATTGCTGATGAAACTAAATTACTTGCTAGTTTTTTTCAGTGTCCATGTTACCTGTAGTTCATAATGTAAGAGGGTAGGAGTGATTATGCTGTTTTAAAGCATTATGTGATAGTGCATCAGAATTGGCCAAAACATTATTTGGTACACTCTTTTCTGCCTCTGAACATTTGTCAGCTTTACTGCCTTGTTTCCTGTATGGTGCCTGTATATTTGTCAGCTTTATTGTGTAGTTTTCTTACATTGCTGCTGGTGCCTGTCAGGCCTCTGTCTTTTAAAAAATTATGTTTAACTTTGCCTCTTCACTAATTCACCCCGTCTCCTTTTTCCAGGAATCCCTGTGGCAAGATTCAGGACATTGTCAAATGGTGTGTGTTAACAGCCTGTTTCCAGATCACACTGTAAGGAGGAATCTGCATCTGGTATTGGTAGTAAGGAGAAGTCTTGAATGGGTATATATTGTTTTCCAGATGACAGTAATAGGTAATTTGCCACTTCCTACACAAACAAACACAAGTCATCACATTTGATGTTTCATTTGAGATGAAATGATTTATTGCAATATTGAAATATTTGTTTTTGTTAATTCTCACTCTTCTGATATCAATTGCCAATTAACTAGACTTAATAAATTAGAAACAGTGAAGTCATTAGCTTATCTCAGATTTTTTATTGTTCTTAAGCATCATTTATACAAATTTCACAAACGTTGGACCAGATTTGTCTAAATTATTAACGTTTAAAGGGATAATAACTCTTCATATGATATCTATATTTCACAATAAAAACATTGTGAACAACTCATAGAAATATAATATATTCTGTTTTACCACAAAAACGGCAGTTACAGCTATTATTCTGATATATGAGCTTGTCTTCAGACCACGTGACCTCCATTGATAGCTATACTCTGTTATAATCTCTTAAGAGATTTTAACAAAAAACCAAACTTTTTAGAAAAAAACCAGGGACTAACTTTGAATGTAAAAATGGATTCATTAACCATTGGTTAGTATGGGAAAATTGTTGTTTACTCCAGGAAAATTCATTTTTTGGCTAAAACGAAGAGTTATTATCCCTTTAACTATTAGAAGCCATGGCATTTGCCAGTCATTTCAATGTAATTTTCAGTTTTCTCAAATACATTGTCCAAAAAATGCTTTTCATTAGATGCAGGCAACTGATAAGCTTATCTCAGATTTTTATTGTTCTAAAGCATCATTTATAAAATTTCACGTAAATTGGACCAGATTTGTCATGGACCGGTTTTGATGAAATTTTCTGGAACTGTCAGAAGTGGGCCAAGGAACAGATGAATAGTTTTTGGTGGTCATCCGGATCATTAATCAATCAATAATCAAAAATCAAAAAACTAAATCATTATGGAATGAAAATTTAGGAGTGAAACGGCATTGGGTGGAGACTTTGCTGCCTTGGCGAAGGTCTGCTTTTCTAGTTTTAAGCCATGGAATTTGTTTGTATTTTCAATATAATTTTTAGTTTTCTTGAATATACTGTCTAAAATTACACATCAAATACACATGGTCAACAGAAAAGCTTATCGCAGTTTAACAGTTGTTTAATTTTTTTTTGCACATTTCACATGAAACATTAATAGATATTTTATTATCACTTTTTACTTTGCAAATAGATAAATGTATCAATCTCTGCAGTCACAAGTGTGACTTCTTATGACAGGTCATTCAACACACCACTTGTCTCTGCCATACCCTTTTGAATGCTTGACAGTACACCATAGTTTAATTTTTTTCTAACATTGATGTGGTTGCCTATCAGGGCTTTGTCTTTTATAAAATAATGTTCATCTCTTCACTACTTCACCCTGTCTCCTTTTTCCAGGTAACCCTTTCCTTGCAGCATGGAGGCTTCTTGGTGGACTGACTCTACCTGTCTGGTCATGGCTAATGCCTATAGAAAAAACAGGCAGTGAAAAACAGCATCAAGAGCAGTTCTGTCTCATCCATGTGTACAATACCTGATATGTGGCAAGATTTAGGACATTGTCAAATGGTTTGTGCTAACAGCCTGATTCCAGAAACCCACTGTAAGGAGGAATCTGCACCAGGTATTGGTAGTAAGGAGAGGTCTTGAATGGATATATATTGTTTTCCAGATGACAATAATAGGTAATTTGCCACTTCCTACACAAACAAACACAAGTCATCACATTTGATGTTTCATTTGAGATAAAATGATTTATTGCAATATTGAAATATTTGTTTTTGTGATTTCTCACTTTTCTGATATCAATTGCCAATTAACTACACTTAAATTGGAAACAGTGAAGTGATAATCTTATCTCAGATTTTCATTGTACCACCAGCGTAGGCGCTGGCGGTACACATAGTTTTAGTCCTGACACTCATATTTTGCTGGCTTTGCCGCCAAGTCACCGTTACCATTTTTCCTCCTAGACTTCAAGAGCCTGCGTACCCATCTCTTGGATTAAGGTCACATTTAATCTCAACTCGATCCACGTAAATTTTGGGCTTTGTCGGTGCTGCAATGCACCCTTGTCCAAAATTTGCAAAATTAAATGCAAGTTATCCAAACCAAAGGAATTATGGAAAAAAATTCTACAGATGACTGACCGAAAGTCATATGTGGAGATTTCAAATATGCCCTTGGATTTGACCTTTGACCTTTATTTCAAGGTCATATGGCCAAAATTTTCTAAAAAAACGAATTTTTTGCAAAAAAATTTTTATTGCTACTGATTTTCAGAAACTACACAGACCTTGCCTATAATATTATGGGCAGGTGTTAACCTTAAGGTTATTTTTCATCCTCCTGAGTTTGGGGTCAATCAGTGCATATTCTTGGGAGTAGCCGCCATAAGATGCCAAAACTAAAAATTCTCTCTAATTCAGGAACCGTAAATGCTAGAGACCTCTTATTCTTTTGCATTTTGTGGAGCATGTCAAGCCCAACACTTGAAGTGGTGCCCATTTTTTTGTTTTCCATACGGTTTACGAGTTGTGCTGTTTCAAAAAGTGCAACGTGTTGTGAAAATAAAATATGAAATACAGTAATATGCCATAAATTTTGAATGTCAGGAAAAGATAACATTAGGCTTAGTGAGGGACAGACAACTTGGGGTCAAAAATGACAGAATTCCATGAAATTCGAAAATTGGAATTTCTCAGCACCCACCATTTCATGAATTTCAAGCAAAACAATCTTTTTGTCATTTCAATTAATTTCTTCTGTACAAATTTTATGGCACATTACTGTAATTCCAAAATTAGCAAAGATACACCCATTTTAGTCCCTTACATCTCCAAAACTGGCAGAATTAGGCCCATATTTACTATTGAACTTGTATAGGAAGTCACATACTGGCAACCTTACTCTGAACTTGAAATTGACCTTTGACCTAAGTGTTGGGGGTGGTCGGCTCATGCTGTAGATGAATTCCACTTTACCAAAATAACATGATTCAGAGCTGGGCCTCTGAGGATGTGTGTTTTGGCAGTGCCCCTTGCAGAGTTGAAGGTGGCTTTTAGTGTGTGTTAGGATTCTCATCTTTATTATAAGAAAAGATCACTCACGTAGTATGAGATTTACAGATACCAATATATACTGTATAAGGTGCCCTGACACAAACACACACACACACACACACACCAAACAAACACAAGTCATCACATTTGATGCTTTATTTGAAATTTATTACCTCCGCCAAGGAGGTTATCTTTTCACCCCTGTTTGTTTGTCTGTTTGTCGGTCTGTCATCAACATAACTCAAAAAGTTATGGACTGATTTTGATGAAATTTTCAGGAACTGTCAGAAGTGGGCCAAGGAACAGATGATTAGTGGTGTGGTGGGCCAAGGAACAGATTGGTGATGATCTGGATCAATAATCAATCAAAAGTAATCAAAAATTGCTGCCATGGCAGAGGTCTGCGCTCTTGGAGTGCTTTTCTAGTTGCAATTTTGAAATATTTGTTTTTATTAATTCTCACTCTTCTGATATCAATTAACTACACTTAAATTGGAAACAGGGAAGTGATAAGCTTATTTCAGATTTTTATGTACAGACACAGGTGTGTCTGTACATGTAACCGTCACCTGTGTCTGCTGTTGCTGTTGCCGTCACCGTCGTTGCCATGCGCTTTCACTGATAACATGATAAGTGGCACACTGTTTTACCTTTTAGCTTGAAACTCACAGAACTGATGAATATTCATAATACCCAGGTCAAGTTTGAAAATCAGCATGATGGGGCTATTTTTATCTAAGTTTTTTCATTCTTTCAGCCTATATGCAACACCGATAACACAATAAGTGGAAAACCGTTTTACCTTTGGGCTTGAAACTTAAACCGATGAATATTTATAATACGTAAGTTAAATTCGAAAAAATCACCATGATAGGACCGTTATTTAATAAGTTATATTGTTCTTTTACTTTTTTCAGCATATGTGCAACACTGATTACACGATATAAGTGGAAAACCATTTTACCTTTTGGCTTGAAATTTACAGAACTGATGAATATTGATAATACGCAGGTCAAGTTTGAAAATCAGCATGATTTTTTCCATAGTTATGCTGTTATTTTTCACTTTTTTCAGCATCCATGCAACACTGATAAGACAAGAAGTGGAGAACCATTTTACCTTTTGGCTTGAAACTTACAGAACTGATTAACATTGATAATACGAAGGGCAAGTTTGAAAATCGACATGATCGGGCCATTGTTTAATAAGTTATATTGTTTTTTTTTTGCTTTTTTCAGCATATGTACAACACTGATAACACATTTCAAGGAAAACTGATAGGCCTATTGTCTTGAAACCTACAGGAGTGATCAGTCTTACTAAAATACAGGTAGAGTTTGAAAATCAGCTTGATCAAACCATTACAAAAGTTGTGCTTTTTTTTCAGCATATATGCAACACTGATAACACATTTCAAGGATAATTGATCAGCCCATTGTCTCGCAACTCACAGCAGTGATCAGTCTGAATAATATACAGATCAAGTTTGAAAATAAGTTCGATCAGTTAAGTTTTGATGAAGTTATGCCTTTTTTGTATATAAGTGGTTTTTCTTCAGATTTAATTCTTAGTCATGTTAACAATCTCATTATAGGACTAATTAGATATGTTAAAAGTGTTCTTTTGACATTTTCTCCTTTTTAACAATATTGTTAATTGATTATATAAAAATGGCAGTAAACCTGTTATTGTGTATTGTGTAATAAAGTGTCAGAAATGGAAATAAACTCATATCATTGCAGTTTGTCAGATTAAATCATTCACCAAGTTCAGAATCTCAGAATGGAGCAAGTTGGACATTTCAAATGTTCTCTTGATATTTTTCCTTTGACAACACTGTTCTCAGTTGATCATATAAAAATGACAGTAAATTGATTATTTTGTTTTATGTAAAAAAGGTGTTGAAAATGGAAATAAACTCTTTTCAGTACAGTTATCTCTTGTTTACATTTTGGGATTTTCAAGATGTGACTTTGAACTTCCATGGGCTTGAAGACTTTTGCTAGTCACATTTTCTGAATATCCATAATACTTTTATTTTATTATTATTATTGATGGTCATGATATGCTGTTAAGCATTGTGTAATATTGCATCAAAATTGAAGAAAACCCTATTGCCGTAGCTGCTTCCATAGTGACCATTAAAGGAAAACCATGTCACTTATTCCTCTCACACTTACAGGAAAGAAACTTATTGGGATTTTCATTATAAGAATTTGAACTCTCATTGTCCTGAAACTGTAATCTTATTGCAGCGGATTGAGACCATCTTCTGGGTCTTCCAGATGACGGTCAGATTTTAAAGTTTACATTGACGGGTATCTATTTTTTTCTGTTGGAAGACTATCAAAAATGGAGGATGGATCAACAAAGATAATTTGGAATACTGTCAGAAAATATCTCTGGATCTGCTCCTGTTATTGACCATGTTACCTGTTGTGCATGATTAAAATTCAGTGTTGATTGACTGTGCTATTATAAGCATTATTATGTACAGACACAGATGTGTCTGTACATATTGCCATCACCTGCGTCTGTCGTCGCCGTCGTCGCCGATGGTGATGCCGATGCCGATGCCGTGCACTTTCCTTGTAAACACGATAAGTGGAACACAGTTTTATTTTTTGCTTTTATATTTACAGAGCTGATGAATATTCATAAAACGCAGGTCAAGTTCGAAAATCAGCATGATCGGGCCATTATAGTAGAAGTTATGCTGTTTTTTCACNTCAACTGATCAGCTTATCACAGATTTTTATTGTTGTTCAGCATCATTTGTACAAATTTCAGTAATATTGGACTAGATTTTACAAAATTATAAACATTTAACTATTTTAAGTCATTGAATTTGCCAGTCTTTTCAATGTAATTTTCAGTTTTTTTATTTATATTATTCTTTTTCCAGAGTACCCTTAACATGAAAAAGCTGGCAGTAAAAGACAGCATCAAGAGCAGTACTATCTCTTATCCATGATTACAATACATGATATGTGGCAAGATTTGTCAAATATTGTGGTAACAACAACCCATTCCAGAAACCCATTGTAAGCAGTAATCTGCATCTGGCATTGGTAGTAAGGAGAAGTTTTGTATGGGTTTATATTGTTTTCCAGATAGAACTTATAGGTAATTTGCCACCTCTTACTCAAACAACCCCAAATCATCACGTTTGCTGTTTTCTTTGAGAGTAAATAATACATTGCAATTTAGAAACTAAATCTGGTTAATTCTCACTCTTCTGATTATCAATTTCAAAAAAAAATTACACTTAAAAAAAAAAAAACAAGATTTTTATTGTTGTTAAGCTTAATTTGTACAAATATCAGAAACATTGGACTAGATTTGACAAAATTATTAATGTTGAACTATTTTAAGTCATGGAATTTGCCAGTGTTTTCAGTGTTATTTTCAGTTTTTTTCAATTATATTGCTCTTTTTCCAGAGTACCCTTTCCATTCTCTACCTGTCTGTGGATGGCTAATTCCTATTGAAAAAGCAGGTTTTAACAACAACAGCTGCAAATTATTTTTCCTTATGATATCTCCAAAATGAGGTAATTTTGTTTTCTTGTGGTGTTCAACAATTATCTTTTCATTTTTAGATTATTTGTACTTCCTCATTACTGTTGTGTTCAGTCCATGATATCATCCTATATACCTAGTTTTTTCACTGTTGGTTTTGTTATTGTCTATGTCTCTGAGCTGTATAATGGTGTTGACCAGATGTAACATTAAATGATACACAACATTAGATGCAATAATGAATTAGGCCTAACAGCAAAATCAACACCAAGTTTTAATTGTGCACAACAAGTAACACATATATTAGGGATATGTAACTAGCATAGACCTCAGAAACATGAGAGTTCAAAAGTTTTAAGAGAAAAGTTAAAGTGTTTTTCCACTTATGGTGTTATCACTGAAAGTGAATGGTGACGAAAGACGCAAGTGACAACTACATGATTGTAGTGACATCTGTGTCTGTACATCTCAAAAAATTAATACACAAATAATTACATAAAAGAATTTATATATCAATCTATATATATATATATATATTCAAATTATTAATTTTGTTTTTCAGATTGTAGAGGATTATAATTGCCTGTCCGGCACTAAGGATGAACGTGACTCTCAAAGATTGCAAAACGTAAGGAAATTTAAAAAATTATGGTTTTTCTACCATGTTCCAATTGTAAAACCACTAGAATTTAGTATTTTGTGGATAGTTCAAGTGAAGAAGAAAAGGAAACGTAGGTGAAAAATGTAAAGGCATTTAAGTTTTAATTACAGTTTTTCTAAGACTGCATTCCCAAAGATTTAGATTGATCTATCTGGATTGACCTAACTCCCTGGGGGTTCATGATCAATTGCTGTCAGCTTTTAGTAGGCCGGACAGACGTTTCAGCTGGCTAAGCTGACAGTTATCTAGTGAGACTTCCTATGGGGATAGATCAATCTAAAATCTGTGGGAATGCAGTTTAAGATGCTAAATTGCTTCACGGTTCAGACAATAGTTTGTAACCTCAACAAAACATAGACATACCTAAACTTCAAAGGCATGCAAACTTTATTAAGGGATACTGTTCACAAAAAAAAAAAAAAAAAAAAAAAGCTGGTTACTTTGGAGCAAAGTTTATTAAACAAAAAGTGAGTTAATTTTTCTGACTAACAAAATAATATAAATGCAAAATTTGTAAAATTAATGATGAAATCATACATCATTTACTAAAAAAGTTTATATAATCACTGTCAGGTTGAAATTGTAAGTTTTTTTTTTTTTTTTCATTTCACAGGCATTTGAGATTTTGGCAATGAATATAAAGACCCAAAGTAAGTTCAACTTAATTAACACATAATTATGATAACTTCTGTTTTGGTGGTATAATAGAATTTATTACATTTCTGAGTTGTTTACAATGTATTTATTGTAAAGTATAGTATGGATCTCGTATGATTTGTTATCCCTTGACAATATTCTTGGCATTTATATAAGCTTCAGAACTTTGATTGCCAGAATAGTCCATTCTGGTGGGCTTTATTATTTAATAAAAGGTGGCTGCCGTGAGCTCAATGAAGAATGCAGAAAAGGGTAACATCATATTTCATTTAAAATTTCAATCAGTGCCATCAACTGGCTTATATTACTTAATCAGGAATCTATATAAAGTAAAGTCCAATGTTTAGCTTGGTTTATATTTAATATTCTGCATTTATGAGGATGGGCATTTTCTTAATATGAATCTTATTAAGCGTGTACGCTGGCGGTACTCATGGTTTTAGTCCCGACCCGTCTCGTACAGCTCCGCCGGCTCCGCAGTCGGGCGCCGGAAACAAGTCACCGTTACCGCTTCTCCTCCTAGACCGCAAGGACCTGTGTCCCCATCTCTTGGATTTAGGTCACATATAATCTCAACTTAAACACCCTGGTTTTTTTGTCTCCGTCAGTGCACTGGCCTGGGCGTGACGCTTGTTGAAATGCACCCTTGTCAAAATTTTTGAAAATTCAATGCTAAATATCTCCCAAACCAAAGGAATTATGGGAAAAATTACTACAGAAGTCTGACCGAAAGTCATATGTGGAGATTCTAAATATGTCCTTGGATTTGACTTTTGACTGTTTTTTCAAGGTCAAACAAGCCAAAATTTTCTAAAAATGGGAATTTTCTGTAAAAAAATATTTGTTTGTGCTAATTTTTGGAAACTATGCAGCCCTAAGCTCTCCTATTTTAGTGAGGGGTTACCATTGGGGACTCCTTTCATCTTTGAGAGTTTGGGGTCAATCGGTGCATTTTCACGGGAGAAGCAGCCATTAGATACCGAAACTGAAAACTCGCTCTAAATCTGGAACGGTAAATGCCAGAGATCTCTGTTTTATTGCATTTTGTAGACCTTGTCAAGTGCAATACTGGAGGTGGTGTCCATTTTTTAAAAACACACACAGAGTCGGGCAAAATGACCTTTATTTCCCAGAATCTAGAACACTATAAATAAGTAGAACAGACAAACTCAATATTAATAGATTGGATCATAAATAAATTAAACCATTTCTGCAACAGATCATGAAAAGTCCCAACCCAAAGTAGGGATTATTGTGATGAAAGTCTAGTTAAAATAAGCATTTCAGTTCATTGCACAGTGGAGCAATCCCAATCACTGCATTTGCACTTAATTAAATTGCACGTGACACAGTTCATGTCCACACTTGAGCATGCATCTGGCGACATAAAAGTTGTGTGTGGACTCACAAACCCTTATAGTTTCTGCACTGCTGATGTAACAACATCTAGCTTCATAACTGTAGACGGTTTGATATATTCGTAGACGGCGTCGCTCTTCCAATCCCCCATGGCTTTGACCATGGCAAGGGGTGTACCTACGGACATCAGCCAAGTTGCTCCCCCTCTGTGAAGGCTGTGGGTGTTGTAGGTGGCTGAGGAGAGTCCAATATCTTTCAAAGCCTGGATGAGGCGACGACGAAACATAGATTGCGTAAGCACAGATAAATTTCCTTTCTCATCTGTGTAGGAGAAGAGGGGTGTGTCAGGAGCTGCAAGCTGGGCACCCAGGAATTTTAACAATGTTGTGATGGGACAGAGGGCAGAACCTGCTATGTAAGGCAGCACAACTGTATGTGGCGGGTGTCCATACTGATTTGTCTTTGACTTGGCTATCCTAAGTATGCCCCCTTCCCCCATCACAGAAAAATCTTTCCGACACAAAGAATGTCCTGGTTCAGACTGGGATTTCACTGTCACGTTGCTTACTCGAAGAAGTCCAAAGAAAGCACAAAGGCAAGCGGCCCATTGTTGTAGGTCCTGCAAGTTGCTGAGGTTGAATGTGCCATGGAGTTTATAAAGGTGCTCTGGAAGTAGCGGCAGTTTTTGGTTCCCTTGATCTCCCTTGTGTCGTCTTATTCCCCCTAGGATGGTCTTAAGCTCCCAAGATGTAAGAGGATTGCCTAGGCCAAACTCCATGTGCAGTATCCTGATGTTTAGGTATTGACGGACTGTCGAGACAGCACAAGAGCGTGCCAGAAAGGCAGCATAGCGGCACACGTTCTTACTCGACACCGGGAGTGGTGCACAGTTAATGGCATTGCAGAATTTAATGTATGAATTAAGGTGTGTTCTGTAAGTCACTTTTGTGGATGTAGCGAATAGCTGAGACTTCCAAAAGGCAACTTCTTGGTCTAGTTCTCTACATAGCTTCGTGGCAGTATTCCCTGTGAATACAGAAACATAAGTGAATGAGCAGTCATGTGGTTATTAAGGTAGTATGCGGGTGGTAATATATTTAGGCATGAGTACCACAGATTTATCAGGTCAGTTAATTGGAAGGCTTTTCCTGGCTCATGTAAATGCGAGATTGTATCAGCAAGGACATTGTCCGTCCCCGTTATGTGAGACGCTTCCAATGCAAAGTTACAATGCAGAGCCAGGCTCGATAGCTCTTTTAAAAGATTATTACACATGACGTTGGGTGAGGCCCCTTTGTTAATGATGTCCATAGCCACTTTGCTATCTGTATGAATAACAACACGCTTGTTCTTCCATGTCACTCCCCATCTATGCGCTGCCAGGACTACAGCTGCGAGTTCCTGGACGTTAATATGCTGAACGCTCAGAACTGGGCTGTCTGAAAGCCAGTTGGTATAGAACCAATCCCCGTAGTGGAAAGCTCCCCCTGCGGTGCTACTAGNCTGATGATTTTGCAAATCAAAAATGCAATCCTGGAGTTTGTGCAGTTGAGGAAAACCAGGGTATGCTGTTGTATACTGGCTGTTTATCTTGTGAAATCTACCCATGTTTATGAATTGATATAATTAAAGAAAAATGCAGCATGGCTTGCCTACATCTGAAATGGTGTTGAGTTTTTGTTTTTATTTTATTTAAAGCCAAAAATTTTGTCACTCTGTATTTGAATAAATTTGATCAAATTTCACAGTATTATGGAGAATACTGTGAAAAGGAGCCTTCAGCTTTCACTGGAGCTGATGCAAGTTCACATAAGTTGATAGTAGACTACATAATCTTTAATCAAGATCCTTTTTGAGGTCAAATTTGAAAAACTGTATTTTGCTTTAAAATTTCATTTTGTTGATTATCATATCTCGTAGTAAGTTTCTTTTAACATTTTTGCATCTAAGATTAAATTCATCTTATGTCAGTCTTGGTTGTTCTAGTTAAATTGCTGTATGGTATTTTTATCATATTGTAAATAAGTCCCTGTTGCTTCTTCAATGAATTATTTCCCTTCTTGATTTGATACATTCCCAGTAAATATGTTATTTCAGAAACAGCTGCCATTGTGGTCCCCATTATACTTGGGGTCATCCTATTAGAGGCAGTTATTGTTGTGTTCCTATTTCTGCAAAGAAGAAGGTAAGATTTCTCTCTCTCTCTCTTGCAAAGAATTTTAAGAAAAAATTGTTAAGTCATCTTAGATGATATCAAATGCATCTTAGAAAATAAGTTATTCATTATCAAACTGTTTTTTCTTAAAGGCATATAAGGTATAATCATTGCAACAATTTTTAAAAGACTTATTTAATATTTAATATATGTCCAAATATTAATCTTTTGGTAATGATAACTGGTAATTGAAGATGAATACCATTTTATATTCCAATGCCCAATGTACAAAACAGACAGAGTCACCTTTTTAAGTAAAACCTCAATCCTAAAAGCTGATCCCAGGTCACCAGACAGTCATTTATGCCATGTATTTAACAGTGCCAAAAAAGATACTCTAGTGTCCCTCTCCAACTTTATAATCAAATCATTCAAGAAAAGAAGTGAAGTAGTTGCTCTGCTTGGTAACTCTTAGCATATCCCTTAAAATGTCAGTGTATGGTCCCACTGTTGTGAGAAGTGACTCGGCAGTGGGACTGAACATGGCACAATATTTATATCTGTGTAACTTATTTACTTATCTGTCTTATGTAATTGTCATTAGTCGTAATTATCCATGTCATCAAACTGGCTTTAAACAGCTATGTAACCTTGGTTTAAGTTTAAACATATTCTTTTTGTGTAACATGTTTATAGTATGTTTATGGTAAATTTAAAATCACACCAAGGTTTATTGCATTGCTTAGATAGAATATTTTATGAGTAATTTTACTGATACGTATGTCCATTATATAAAGATGGTAATGCACTAACTGTATTGTATCGTCATTAGTATATCATATTGTACAAGGTCATGACAATCTATGTACCAGTACAGAAATGAATTGAATTGAATTGAATTGATAACAAACAATTCCCTTGCATATTGAAATAGTTGTTGCTGTTATTTCAGTATGGGCAAGGCCCTAGCTGCATTTGAATGGGGAGGAGTGAATTCAGACTGGGGCACCTGCAGGAACTGGCTTTCCATGGAGAAAAGGTTGTGGCCATCAGCATGCCAGACTTAGCATATGACAGCTCTGTGGCACAGAATGGAGTAAATAGCTTCAATAACTGGAAATTTTCTTTTTTTATTCATTAGTCTAAAGTTCTTGTCTTTTTTGAAGACTACAACAAACCAAAAAACACGCTTAACCTAAAACAGGGCATGGCCAGCCCCAGTGACCCACTCATCCCAATGGGGTAGCAGACAACCAGTCATCAGAGATCACAGTCCATATACCACATAAAGAATGTATTAATTACTTTAAAATGTGAGGGGAAATGATACAGCTCAGTCAGTGTAGCAAGTGGAGTTGATATGATTCCAAACTTACAAAACTTACAAACTTACTGAGTTTGAAAATCAGCTTTATTTTTATAATTTTTACAACATTATTTTTTTTTATTATTATTNAAGTTATTCATTATCAAACTCTTTTTTCTTAAAGACATATAAGGTATAATCATTGCAGCAATTTTTTAAAGACTCATTTAATATTTAATATAAGTCCAAATATTAATCTTTTGGTAATGATAACAAACATTTCCCTTGCATATTGAAATAGTTGTTGCTGTTATTTCAGTATGGGCAAGGCCCTAGCTGCATTTGAATGGGGAGGGGGTGAATTCAGACTGGGGCACCTGCAGGAACTGGCTTTCCATGGAGAAAAGGTTGTGGCCATCAGCATGCCAGACTTAGCATATGACAGCTCTGTGGCACAGAATGGAGTAAATAGTCAAAAATTATTTAGAAATGTGATCAATTAAAGATCTGAGGGTTTCATTTGGATACTCAGTTGAGACAAAAGATTCAGAACTTCCAGATGAAAATACAAAACAGCAATTTGCAGTTTGTTTTAAAACATCATCCTAGAAATATATCTGTGTTGGATTCCTTGGTGTACTCAACATTCCAAGAACTATTGTCTTGGTTCAGAAACGGGTAGAAGATAAATTTATATTTAATAGCATACAAGACATGTTGATGGTTTTTTCCTTCTGGCTTTGAACTATATGTCATGTGACATTTAATAGACGTCTTTGGATGGTAATTTTATCAATATTTGATCAATACAAAAGGCTGAAAAGCTTTAAGAAGGCTGGAAGAAAATTAGTCCCACTCCATTGCAACATTACTTATATATGATTTTTATTTACAGACAGAAGTGTCTGAACATATTGCTGTCACATGCGTCTGTCATCACCGTCTTTGCCATGCACTTTCAGTGTTATAACGATAAGTAGAAAATTATTTTGCCTTCAAACTTACAACAAGGTGAATATTCATATATTGGATGAGTTTGAAAATCAACTTTATTTTTATAATTTTTACAACATTCATTTTTTTTTTTTTTTTTGTTTTTTTGTTTAAGTGTTTTTTCCTCAGGTTCAATTCTTAGACATAAACGTCTCATTATTGAACATATTACATACATAAATTTGATAAATGTGTTCTTTTCACAAATTATGCATTTTAACAATTTTGTTAGTTGATTATATAAAAATGATGGTAAATCTGTTATCATGTCTTGTGAAATAAAGAGTCAAAATTGGAAAATAAAATTATATCAGGGCAGTTTGTCAAGTTCAATCCTTCACTATGTTTATAATTTCAAAATGGAGCAAATTGGATATTTAAAATTGTTCTATTGATGTATTTTTTATTTGTTTGAATAGAGGCCTGTTGATACCATATTGCTGTACTTGAAATTTTATTTGTTCTGTTAGTGTTAGTGCATTGTTCTTTAAGTATGAGATTATTAATTTTGATTTTTAGATACTTGTCAGAAAGTATTTTTTTGTTTTTGAGTGTGTGCATGCCAATATTATGTATGTTCTCCCTTATTTTACTGAAATAAAGGATGTTTTGGGGTGAAAATGTGTATGTTCAATTGTTGCTCTTTTTCTCCCTCTAATCTTTTTCCTTTCACTTTAATTTTCATTAAAAAAATCCCTCAATATTTTTTTAAAATGGAATAATATCAATAAGAAGATTTTCCAATTAAAAATATACAAATTTATATATTTGATTACCCCCAAGTTAATAGATTATGCTTTCTTTTATGGAGTGCTTTGCTGAAAGATATTCTGTATAATTAAATAGTATATTTGATGATAACAGACAACAATAAATCTTTACTAGTTTTTCAAATTCAGCTGCAGGGGTACGTACGGAAAAAATTTAGCCCCAAAATATTATTCGTCCCTATACTCCCGTTACCGATAGATAGATAAAGGAAAAACTGAAAAAAACATCTTTTTAGATTTAAATACCGATAGATCCGATTTTTTACCACCGTCCTATATATTTGCGTTCCTATAGTTACGACGTCCACATAAACCCACGTACTATAAATCCGCATACCTATAGATCCACGTTTTTTTAGGTCCAAATACCGATAGATCTATTACAGGTACACTATTGCTCAAAAAAGTTTGTTCTCGTAAATGTTCATAATTTTTATTTATATGCCAAGTTTACACTCCCGTTAATTCATCCTCATCCCTAAGAGTAATATAATGCAACACTGCTGTCGGAACGGAATTTTTTTTTTTTTTTTTTTTTTTTGAGGGGGGGGGGGGAGGCTGTGCGAGCAAGGGTAGCGAAAGCCAGGGGAAGATACACGAGCAAATTATAGGCAAATTACTGGCTGCAGCCATAATTTAAGTAATGTGTAGAGGGGGGGGTTCAGGAGGTTCGAAAGAAACGCCCCTTTTGTCAGGAAAAGGTCCATTTTGGGTAAAGTTTTATCTAGGTACACATAAGTTTCATTGTAAAAGGTCCACTTTTTCAGAAAAGATCCCCCTTTTGAATTTGCTGGCTACGGCC